TTGTCTCCCTACTGGCCTCTGCTCCATGAGTGGAGGAACTATTTCTGTTTCTGTTCACATTTCCAGGTCCTGGTAAAGTGCCTCTTCATGGGCAACAAATAAATACTTGTGTAATGAATGGGCAAATGAGAGTTTCAAAAAAGCTCTAAGCAACATTAATGTCATCGGAATAAGTGTGTGGTCTTCCATGATGATTTCTTTGAAAGATGAGACAGCAGTGACTGGCGTGTAGAAATTCTGACTTGGCGGCCGGGCACGGTTGTTCACGCCTGTAATCCCAGCACTTGGGGGGCCGAGGTGGATGGATGGATCACGAGATCAGGAGTTTGAGACCAGACTGGCCAACATGGCAAAATGCCATCTTTACTAAAAATACAAAAAAAAAAAAATATTTAGGTGGGCATGGTGGTGTGGGCATAGTGGTGGGTGCCTGTAATCCCAGCTACTCGGGAGGCTGAAGCAGGAGAATTGCTTGAACCTGGGAGGCAGAGGTTGCAGTGAGCCAAGATCATGCCATTCATTGTACTCTATCCTGGGCAATAAGAGCAAGACTCTGTCTCAATATATATATATACTATATATAGTATATATATGTATGTATATGTGTGTGTATATATATATATTTATATATATATATATATTTATATATATAAATTCTGACTTGGGGATTGCTTTTAAACCTACCACATTACTTTATCATTATTCCTAACTAAAAAGACCAGTGCAATGTAGGAGGCACTGTATGGTAGTAGACTAATGAGTGGGCTGAGTTGAGTCCTGGCCATGCCACTTAAAAGCTCTACAATAGTGAACCCCTACTTAGATTAAGTTTCTTGATCTTTAAAGTGAGAAGATTAGCCCCTGTCTACATGGTAGGTGTGAGGATTAAATAGATAATGTCTGTAACACATTTAGCAGTTAGGGCCTCTTAAAGAGTTTGAGAGAGCTTCAGGCTACTTCTTAGAAGATCCCACAATTTAAAATGTGACAACAGGATTTACATATTTGTAGAGTTTTACAGTTGTTCACTGAGGAAGCAACGTAAGACAATATAAAAGCAATAATACAATAATCACAAGATTTGTTCTTAAGTATGATTAATGGACCATAAATTTAAAGCGTTATATGTCTTTCAGTTTTTTGTTTTTTTTTTTTTTTTTTTTTTTGAGACTGAGTTTCGCTCTCGTTACCCAGGCTGGAGTGCAATGGCGCGATCTTGGCTCACCGCAACCTCCGCCTCCTGGGTTCAGGCAATTCTCCTGCCTCAGCCTCCTGAGTAGCTGGGATTACAGGCACGTGCCACCATGCCCAGCTAATTTTTTGTATTTTTAGTAGAGACGGGGTTTCACCATGTTGACCAGGATGGTCTCAATCTCTTGACCTTGTGATCCACCCGTCTCGGCCTCCCAAAGTGCTGGGATTACAGGCTTGAGCCACCACGCCCGGCTGTCTTTCAGTTTTGTGAATGTATTTGTAGTATCTCATTTGGCCATGTCACAAGTTTAAATGTAAAAGCTCTGTGATTGTGAGACCTCCTGAGCTCCTGCAGGATCGGTCCTAAGCACAAAGTCAACAACTGATGTTAATCAGCTCATTTCTGTTTTCAAACGGTTTTCAAAGAATTGAGACGTACAGTTGGCTGCTAAAGCCTCAACTATGTTGTCTTGGCTGCTCGTTATTGGGGGAATGGCAAGTACGAGGTCTCACCCTATCACTCAGGTTCAGTGCAGTGGCACGCTCACAGCTCACTGCAGCCTTGAACTCCTGAACTCAGGCAGTCTTCCCATGTCAGCCTCCTGTGTAGCTGGGACCATAAGCACATGCCACCATACCTGGCTATTTTTTGTTTTTTTTTTTCCTCAGACGGAGTCTCACTCTGTCACCCAGGCTGGATGGAGTGCAGTGGCCCAGTCTCGGCTCACTGCAGCCTCCTGGGTTCAAGCAATTCTCCTGCTTCAGTCTCCCAAGTAGCTGGGACTACAAGTGCCCGTCACCACACTGGGTAATTTTTGTATTTTTAGTAGAGACAGGTTTCACCGTGTTGGCCAGGCTGGTCTCAAACTTCTGACCTCACATGATCCACCCACCTCAGCCTCCCAAAGCGCTGGGATTACAGTGTGAACCACCGCACCCGGCCTTTTTTTTTTGAAATATATATATATAGACAGCGTCTTGCTATGTTGCCCAGACTGGTCTCAAATTCCTGGAGTCAGGCAGACCTCCCACTTCAGCCTCCAAAAGTGCTGGAATTACAGGCATGAGCTACTGTGCCCAACCTCTTGGTTGCTTGCTTGCTTGCTTTTTTCCTCAACTTCTAAGTGCTTGGAAACTCTTGTTTGTTGTTGTTGCTTGCTGCTGTTGTTGTTTGAGATGGAGTTTTGCTCTGTTGCCCAGGCTGGAGTGCGATCTTGGCTCACTGTGACGTCCCCCGCTTCCAGGGTTCAAGCGATTCTCCTGCCTCAGCCTCCTGAGTTGCTGGGATTACAGGCACCCGCCACCACACCCAGCTAATTTTTGTATGTGGTGGTGTTTTTTGACACAGTCTTGCTCTATTTCCCAGCTCCTAGTTATTTTAAATGGTGGGTTTGCTACTCTAAAAAGTACAGGCCAGGCACAGTGGCTCACACCTGTTATCCCAGCACTTTGGGAGGCCGAGGCAGGCGAATCACCTGAGGACTGGAGATCGAGACCAGCCTGGCCAACATGGTAAAACCCTGTCTCTACTAAAAATACAAAATTTAGCCAGGCATGTTGGTGGGTGCCTGTAATCCTAGCTACTCGGGAGGCTAAGGCAGGAAGAATTGCTTGAACCCAGGAGGCAGAGGTTGCAGTGAGCTGAGATCATGCCACTACACTCCAGCCTGGGCAACAGAGCAAGACTCTGTCTCAAAAAAACAAAAGTACAAAACACTTGAATAACATTTCTATGAAAATGAGGGCATCTGGCATGTATAGTCTCTAGGACATTCAGCATAGTTCGGGCTCTTCTAGTAACCATCAAGACATGAAGTCCTAGTGAAACCCCATCTCTACTAAAAATACAGAAATCAGCCAGGCATGACGGCACATGCCTGTAGTCCCAGCTACTCAGGAGACTGAAGCAGGAGAATCGCTTGAACCCAGGAGGTAGAGGTTGAAGTGAGCTGAGATTGTGCCACTGCACTCCACCGTGGGTGACAGAGCAAGACTTTGTCTCAAAAAAGATGTTCTGGCCCTTGTAGCTATGGCATCCCATGAGCCTACTTTATTTATTTATTTATTTATTTTTGAGACAGAGTTTCGCTCTTGTTACCCAGGGTGGAGTGCAATGGCACAATCTCAGCTCACTGCAACCTCCACCTCCTGGGTTCAGGCAATTCTCCTGCCTCAGCGTCCTGAGTAGCTGGATTACAGGCACACGCCACCATGCTCAGCTAATGTTTTGTATTTTTAGTAGAGACGGGGTTTCACCATGTTGGCCAGGATGGTCTCGATCTCTTGACCTCGTGATCCACCCGCCTCGGCCTCCCAAAGTGCTGGGATTACAGGCTTGAGCCACCGTGCCCGGCCTGAGCCTACTTTAAAGCACAGTTTACAAAGAAACCTCACCTGTAGTCACCTCATGCACAAACCATTTCCTTTGACTCTAAAGGAGTTTGAAAACTCTCAAAGTATCAAAATATTTTAATCTTAGGCTAACTTAGAAACAGTTATTTACATACATTTAGAATTATAAATTGCAAAGAGAAATCTCCCAAAGCCAAAATACTTATAAAATATTACTAAACATTCAAGCAAAAATACGTTTTTAACCAAACTAAATTTCTCAGCTCAGTGGCCTGCTGATAGAATATTGTTTACTGGCTAAAAACCACATTTGCAGAAACTTTTAGAAATGTCTTGCCGGGCGCGGTGGCTCAAGCCTGTAATCCCAGCACTTTGGGAGGCCGAGGCGGGTGGATCACGAGGTCGAGAGATCGAGACCATCCTGGTCAACATGGTGAAACCCCATCTCTACTAAAAATACAAAAAATTAGCTGGGCATGATGGTGCGTGCCTGTAATCCCAGCTACTCAGGAGGCTGAGGCAGGAGAATTGCCTGAACCCAGGAGGCGGAGGTTGCGGTGAGCCGAGATCGCGCCATTGCACTCCAGCCTGGGTAACAAGAGCGAAACTCCGTCTCAAAAAAAAAAAAAAAAAAAAAAAAGAAATGTCTTTCACGGCCGGGCACGGTGGCTCAAGCCTGTAATCCCAGCACTTTGGGAGGCCGAGGCGGGTGGATCACGAGGTTGAGAGATCGAGACCATCCTGGTCAACATGGTGAAACCCCGTCTCTACTAAAAATACAAAAAATCAGCTGGGCATGGTGGCACGTGCCTGTAATCCCAGCTACTCAGGAGGCTGAGGCAGGAGAATTGCCTGAACCCAGGAGGCGGAGGTTGCGGTGAGCCGAGATCGCGCCATTGCACTCCAGCCTGGGTAACAAGAGCGAAACTCCGTCTCAAAAAAAAAAAAAAAAAAAAAAAAAAAGAAATGTCTTTCACGGCCACATAGTATGTACTGAACAATTGTAGAGTGAAGCACTGTACTAGGATTTATCTAAAATAATTCATTTAAATAGAAATTACATTGAAACATTTGTGAAAGACATTTAATAATCCACAAAAGCTGCACAGGAAGTTCAATAAGAAGTGCTAAGGGTAATGGAGTGATCGAAGTAACAGCTGCAAAATCAGGATTACTTGGAGAAAATTTCAGACTTCAGAAAGGGAGCAGGGGAGTCCTACCTTGAAAGCTAAAGGTATGAATTTGATACAAAATGGAAAGGAGTGACTTTGAGACCAAAGCATCTACTGTGAACAGTTGACCTTCAGATTTGCATACCTGCTCTGCAGGCTAAGGATGATGTCAGTCATTTGGGAGGGGAACTGAAAGCTTTTTATAATTTGGTTGCAACTAGAGGCTACCACAGAACCACAGTTTTTTTTTTCTTTTTCTTTTTTTCTTTTTTGAGAGAGAGTCTCCCTCTGTCACCCAGCAAGAGTGCAGTGGTACGATATCAGATCATTGCAACCTCCACCTCCACCTCCTAGGCTCAAGTGATTCTTCTGCCTCAGCCTCCCAAGTAGCTGGGACTACAGGCGCCTGCCACCACATTCAGCTAATGTTTGTATTTTTAGTAGAGATGGGGTTTTGCCATGTTGACCAGGCTGGCCTTAAACTCTTGACCTCAGGTGATCTGCCCAGTTGGCCTCCCAAAGTGCTGGGATTACAGGAGTGAGTCACTGCACCTGGCCCAAAGTAGTTGAGAAGCTAGAGGCAGGGGGGCTGTTGAAATAATTTGCATGCAGAGTTATTGGAGCTATGATCAAATGTGAAGATGATAGGCCCAATTTTAAAAAGTAATAAACTAGGATGAGGGTTGAAGAGATGGGGTAGAGTAAGTTTAGGGTTATAAGGCTTGGAGGGACCAGGAGAAAATGGCAGCTGTCAAGCACAAGGGGAAACTGAGTCAAGGTGAGGCATTCTTGTGAAGAAGATCATGAGTTCTGAACAACCACACTAAAAAAGAAGACCAGGCCTGGCAAGAAGGCACAGGGCTGCAGACCAAATGCAATGTGCAGACTTGGAGGTACTGAATGCCAGAACTCTGGGGTGGGAGTGTTGGCTTCAAAATTCATTGACAAAGTGGCGGGGGCACCTTCAAATGTGAGAGGTGCTGTCAAAACCATCACCAAGGTTAACAAGACCATGTCCTTAGCATGGGTGTGAGAAAGGACAATACGCTGATGTGTCTCTCCCAGGCTGTCAGTCATGGCTCCTGAGAGCTTATTCTTAATTCTCCCAGAATCCTCAAAAGTTACCAAAGGCAGAAAAGATGTGTTCCTCCCATGAGTCCAGCTTTGAACCAATGTCTTCAGAGAGAGGGGAACAGGTTTCAAAATTCTGACCTTGAGACCTAGAGTCAGAGATGCCCCCTCCAGCCCCGTTTGGGTCGGGCAGGCAGTTCGCATCCACCTCAAGAGGCAGCTGGGGCTTCAGACATTTCGTTTCAGTTCCAGGAGCAGAGTGGGTGAGGATAATCTCTGGCCTAGACAAAGGTTGGAAGGATTTCCCACTCTGACGCCGAGACTTGGCACGCCTGTTCTGGAACCATACCTGGAAGAGGGGAGGAAAAAAACTGCTTTTGGTTGGAGTTTTTATGCTAACATAATGTTCACAGTTCATACTAGTAAGTTGCAGTTTAACATCCCCTGGCTTCCTCTCCAAAGCACTTAGGTTGAGGGTTAGAAGCTCAGAGCACCTGGCTTTCCTTGCCTCCCCATTCCCAGATGCAAACAGTGGAATAACGCCTCATTCTATATCTTCTTTAGTTAGAAACATTTTCATGAAAAATGGGGGTCACAAAAATAGAAGCACTTAGAATTCTTAGGAAAAAAACTGCATTAAAAATAAGAAAATCGATTCTTGAAGGTCTGTACTCCCTTGTCAAACTAACAAAGGAGGTATTTTGCTCATGACAGCTGTTGAGACTGAGAGCTGTATGATCACCAGGAATGCAGAGAGAACAAGTCCACTCTCCCAGTGTTTAGATGAGGGCTGCTCCTTAAAACTGTGCTTGGACACCGACCAAGCTGCTACAGACAAACAGACAAAAAGCTAGACTTCTCCCTACCAACTCTAAGATTCTAATCTAAATACTTCAGACGACAAACAAGGCCTGGAGCGGTGGCTCAGGCCTGTAATACCAGCACTTTGGGAAGCCCTGGGCGGGTGGATGACCTGAGGTCAGAAGTTCAAGACCAGCCTGACCAACATGGTGAAACCCATCTCTATTAAAAATACAAAAAAATAACTGGGCATGGTGTCAGACGCCTGTAATCTCAGCGACTCGGGAGACTGAGGCAGGTGAATCGCTTGAACTAGAGAGGCAGAGGTTGCAGTGAGCCAAGACCGGGCCACTGCACTCCAGCCCGGGCAACAAGAGCAAAACTACATCTCAAATAAATAAATAAAACACGCCTTGCATTAGATTTTTCAAACTGCCAACAAGCTCTAGGTTCTTCTCGCTTTACCTCAAGATGCTACATCCTTTCAAATCCAAGTCCCAGAACGCAACACTTGCTAAGAAAGCAGCATAAGGAGGTAACCTGCCGAGCCAGCCCTGCCCGCTCTCAGCTACCATTCTCGCACTCAAAGCCCGACGAAAACATCTGTGTGTTCTTCCTGGATAAGGAAAAAGTACAAAACTTATCCTCTTCCTGCTGGGAATTAACTTTCTGGCCATTTCAAGGGGCCAGCTAGCCTCCTAGAAGCCCTTATTATATTTAACTATGAGAGGTAGAAATCGTTCAGTGCAGGCTTGAATTATTTCACATAAGCCTCACAATCACCCTGTGTAGCAGGTGCCGACATCACCCCTATTTCAATCTAGGACACAGACGCTCAGGGGAAGCACCTTGCCTGCAACGTCCCGGGGGTGTGGCCTCAGGAGCCCGAAGTCTCGACCTCGACTCCGCAACGCCTTCGCCCCAGCGCGCACCTGCGAACGCCGCGGGCCCTCACCTGGATCCTGGACTCAGGGAGCAGGGTGAGCGCGGCCAGGCGCTCCCGCAGGTGGATGTCGGGGTACCGGGTCCGGCGAAAGACAAGCTCCAGCAGCTGCAGCTGCTCCGCGCTGAACGACGTGCGCTTGCGGCGCTGCGACGCCGACTGGGCGGCCGCGCCTTTAGGGGGCGCAGGCGAGCCCAGGCCGGCAGGGCGGCGGGGCCGGCCCGGGGTCCTGGCCCAGGAAGCCCGCGAAGGGCGCCGGACCGGAGCCGGGGCTGGGTCCCGCGGGGGGCGCAGGGAGCAGTGCGGCCGCGGGGCTCGGGGGCGGCAGGAGCGCCCCGCTGGCGTAGGGGGCTCGGTACGCGGGGAACGCGGCGCCCTCGGCAAACTGGTGCGCACGGGACTCAGCTGCTGCCATCGCTCCGGAGCCGAGCGCGCCGCCCGGAGGGGCGCGGGCCCCACTTATACCCGCCCGGGCGGGGTCGGGGGCGGGGCGGCGGCGCGGCGCGATCAAAGGTGGGCGCGGGGAGTCCCGTGTCTCCCCGAGGTGCGAGCCCGCCCGGCCCTGCCAGACACTGGGGAATAATCGCTTCCGCCGGCCTCGGGATGCAGGAGAGAGGCGTGAAGTTGGGTCCCGGCCCCCTCCGTGTTCTTCCCCGCCTACCCGCCCCGCCGGCGCAATACACATCCCCGAAAGACTGTTTGCCCGGGAGGGGCAGCCCCGAGGAGCCCGGGTGTGCGGGCCGCTGGCTGCAGAACTCCCTCCTCTGGGTCGGATCCCCGATCAGAGCAGGGGAAGGGCCTTTCCCGGCCTGTGTCTCACATGGTCCGCATTGCCCCTTGCCTTGGTCCTGCCTGTCCTCATCAAAGCTATTTATTTACCACCCCTGCTATGTGCTAGACCCTGTACCAGGTTGGTCAAACAGCCTGGCCCCTGAGTTCTGCAAGCCTCCCTAACACATCCTGAATCCAAGGGTGGGGGGTGAAGATAAAGGGATCCATCTCAACGGGGGAGCACATTGCTCCTGATTAAATGGGTTGTGGAGGGTGGAGGGTGTTCTGGCTGGAACGTACCTGGGCCCACCAATAAGGATACCCTAGGTAGGGCGGGGTTGGCAACATGCCGTATTAGCAGAGGAGACGCGCAATTTGACCTTTCTGGAGACACTAAATGCTCAAGACCCGTCTTTGGGATGGGTGGAGATGAAAGCCACCTTATGAAGTTCCCACACGCTCTGAATCTTCATTCTTTCCTCCGCCCCCGGGGCTCTGAAAGCTCCCATTTTCAACTTTGTGCTATGGTTTCTCGATCTGCTTCCCCTGCTAGATTACAAAGTCTTAGCAAGCAGGAACCCACTTCTCCCTTTCTGAGTTTACTGAGCGTCTACTTTGTACACCTATTCTGCGTGAGGCCTGGGGCGAGGCCTTTAGTGAATGTCTGTCGAATTGGATGTCACTGACTCCTCCTTGTTGAAAGAGAATGGTCCACCGTGGGAACTGCCCCACCGCAGTGCAAGAGCTCAGGAGAGGAGCATAGACGCCCCAGTCTCCTTGCTCACAGCACCTGAGCACTGATTTCACCTGATCACTCCCTGTGGCTAACTGGATCTCTTTCTTGGGAGGTTCTTTGAGAGCACAATCCCTGTCCTGTCTCTCTGCATTCTGGAACGTCAACGGACAGTCTCAGAGTAGCTTGGATCTTTTCATCATGGGTGGACGTTCCAGGTGGCAAAGCAGAAATAATTCTTGGAGCTGCTGCAGAGAGGAATTTAGGGCTTGATTCTTTCCTGGTTGGGGTAAGGGGTGGGGGTGGCAGGGACTGTGTCCTGCGCAGCCCCTGAGGCCCTTCTAAGGCAGCTGATAAACTCACCGCCTGCCCTTCTATCTTCCTTCCACCCCTTCTCCTTTCTTTCTCCTTCTTCTCTTCCTTGTTTATTCCTTTGCCAAGTCATTGAGGTTTTCATGCTGAGAATAGGAGTTCAGGAATATTTCTCTGTGTTCATTCATTCATTAGTTTAAAGAAAAAAAAAATGTGTGAAGTGTCACTGTGCCAGGCCAGGCTTGGTGTATGTTACTCCTATTCCAATTTCACAGATCAGGAGATATGCCACAATCCACACAGAGGCCCAGACAACTCTCAAGCCAGTGTGCCAAGCCGACCTCGAGGCATGACTCCTGTGGTCACATGGAGCTCCTTCCTCTGTCTCCCTCAGGAGGAGGGCGAAGCCTGGCCCCACTCCAGTCTCGGGGTTGTCATCTTTCAGGCACATTGGGTTCCTCAGGTTCCTGTTTGCAGGCTGCAGTGATGGAGGCGTTACCGTATGTAGCTGCAGGGACCGGGAGGCCAGCCCCGGGAGGACACCGGAGGTTTGCCCGCTGCTGGCCACCAGCTGAAACTTAACAGCCAGAGATGGCTGAAGCAGCCCAGAAACTCTGCCCAGGAGCCAGGCATCATAGGAATTCTGCAGCCCACTGTGTGGAACTTCACCCCATTTCCCTGGGTTCTCTGTCCAGGCCTCGGTCCTCTGCCACCATCTGCTCACTTGTGAGGGGCCCTGGAGCCTGCCGGTTTTGTCATAGCCAGGGACATGGACCTGTGGAGACACATGAAGCGCTTGCTCATCACAGAAGCAGGCAGTAGTTCAGTGAAGCAATCTAAACATACAGCCAAAGCAATCTACACCTGTGCTAAGAAATCCCAGCATTCAGGCCGGGCGCGGTGGCTCAAGCCTGTAATCCCAGCACTTTGGGAGGCCGAGGCAGGCGGATCACAAGGTCAAGAGATCGAGACCATCCTGGTCAACATGGTGAAACCCCGTCTCTACTAAAAATACAAAAAATTAGCTGGGCATGGTGGCGCGTGCCTGTAATCCCAGCTCTTCAGGAGGCTGAGGCAGGATAATTGCTTGAACCCAGGAGGCGGAGGTTGCGGTGAGCCGAGATCGCGCCATTGCACTCCAGCCTGGGTAACAAGAACGAAACTCCGTCTCAAAAAAAAAAAAGAAAGAAAGAAATCCCAGCATTCAGGCCAGGCTCAGTGGCTTGTGCCTGTAATCCCAGCACTTTGGGAGGCTGAGGTGGGCAAATCACCTGAAGTTAGGAATTTGAGACCAGCCTAGCCAACATGGTAAAACCCCGTCTCTACAAAAAAACACAAAAATTAGCCAGGTGATCCCAGCTACTTGGGAGGCTGAGGCAGGAGGATCACTTGAACCCAGGAGACAAAGGTTGCCATGAGCTGAGATTGTGCCACTGCCCTCCATCCTGGGCAACAGAACATGACTCTGTCTCAACAGAAATTCCAGCATTCCCTTTGTGGTTTGAGAATCCTCCAAACTGACTAAACAGGGATTATTTTCTTTTGAATGTTTTTCTGGGAGTTTGTGTTAGATAATTATCTTCTATAGTGAAAGATGATTTCAGCCTCTCCCATTCTCTCCTCCTTTTGCTCTAAGTGAAGCTTTTATGGAATGTGTTTGTGTATGCCTAAGAAACAACGTCTGCAGGGATACAGTGGAACGTCAGGGCTAGAATCCATTCAAGTATTACGATACTACAAGTTTCTTTAACATTGTCATTTGACTTAAACCTCATGTATTAATAGTTATTTTCTAACTAAATGAACAAAGAGCTCACTTGGTTTTCTAACCGTACAATGCAGTTCTTCTGTAGAAGTTTTCTGGCTCTCTGCAGGATGTGGTATTAACTTAGCATGTGTCACATGTCTTGCATAAAGTCGTACTGAGCAAGGGTTGGAAAGGGAGACTTTTATACCTTTCAGGAATGCTTTATGATTATTTTTTAATCATGTGCATGTATTATTGCTATAAGCACATTTTTAAACCCTAGTTTTTGAGGACTAGAAGTAACGTGGTATTCTGATCTGGATCCTAGAAAATAAAAAAGACGCTAGTGGGAAAACTGGTAAAATCTGAATTTAAAAAAACCAAATTCTACAAAACTAAGCAGAGAATGCAGTGTAATACATTTGAAAAGATAAATTACTTCTCAGATGGGCCTGGTGGCTCACACCTGTAATTCCAGCACTTTGGGAGGTTGAGGCAGGCAGATCACCTGAAGTCAGTAGTTCGAGACCAGCCTGGCCAACATGGTGAAACTCCATCTCTTCTAAAAATACAAAATTAGCCGAGCGTGGTGGCATGTGCCTGTAATCCAGCTACTTGGGAGGCTGAGGCAGGAGAATCACTTGAACTTGGGCAGTGGCGGTTGCAGTGAGCCAAGATCGTGCCATTGCACTCCAGCCTAGGCAACAAGAGTAAAACTCTGTCTCCAAAAAAAAGAAAAGAAATTACTTCTCCACGCAAGTGGATTTCCCATTTCACTTGGCGTTTTCATTGACTAAGGTTGGAAAGATAGAAGCTGTACTGGGTCTCTACAAAATCACTGCTGTGTATTATACTTCACTTAAAATTAAAATGACTTGCTACTTAGCTTTTCTTTGGTAGACACTTACAAATGCATAAATGGTTTTCATTGTATCCAAGTTCTAGATTCCTGACTCAGTTACCCCCCTGCAGGCATACAATGGGGTATGTGGATCACATATCCATTTGTTAATTCTTCAGTATTCATTTTTTTCAATAGGAAAATGAGAAGAGCCCTATCCTTGGCAATATAATTTTTTAAATAATTATTGCAAGTTATTTTCCCAAAACAGATACTCTGTGATATAGAAAGCTCCATAAAGTGCTTTTTTCCTACAGAAGCACATCAGCATAGCAAACTGAAGTTCAGGGTTAGCCAAAGACAGCAATCACTGCGATTAGGATCTGGAGTTCTCCCCCTCCAGCACCTGGGTGAGCTCACCATTTTTGATTTGCTGAGAGCTTTTGGCCATTATTTACATTTAGTCTGTCAGTAACTTGAAATAGATACAAGGGAAGGCAAGGTGAAACAGAAGACAATCCTCAAAGATGCTTCCTGTATAATGGGGGAAGGCCACTAAATAAAAGAGGCAGTAGGGAAAGAAAAAAACAAAACATGATTCTCTGGCTCCAGGGCCAGCTCTACAGCAGCCCAGGCTGTGCAGGATGGGGCCACTCGGGGTCACTGTCCCATTCTGCACCCTCAACATTTCCCACCACGGTTCCTGTCACTGAATCACCCAAATCTCACAGAGGCCTGTCTTTCCTCCGCAAGTGCTAAGTACTCTCTTCCCCGGGCTCTCTTTGTTGTTCAAGTCAGCCCCTCTTCACTGCCTAAGACCAGGCGCGAGAGCCTGGGTATTTATTAAAGGGAAAACCAGGAAAAGGCAGCCGAGGGGAGTCGATGGCTCTGCTTCCACCTTGAGATCCGCAGCGCTGTGTGCCCCTTTGATCCTGGCCTCACTTTGATTTCCGCTCCTCTGGCTGCCCAGGCCTCCGCAGTTCCTGGAGTTTATTTCAGAGCAGGTGGTTA